TCATGTGGGGGGAGAACATAAATGATGTCTACTATGCCAACCATATCTCACTCCCACAAATGAACACTGCTACTAAAGCATCACCTCTCGAATACCATCACACACTTGGACATCCATCTGCTCGTTTTCAAGCATCTTGTTAAAGACTTAGGTCTTAGATTCAAATCATTGCCTAAACTCAATTTTCATTGTGTTTCATGTTCTGTTAATAAAATCCACAAGGTACCCTTTGGCCGAAATCCATTTATTGCAAATAAGCCTTTGCAACTTATTAATTCCGATGTTTGGGGACATGTTCAAAAATCTATTGATGGTTTTGTCTATTATGTAGAGTTTGTGGATTACTATTCAAAATATATTTGGTTGTATCCCATAAAATATAAATTCGATGTCTCCAAATTTCCCCCCAATTTAAATGTTTGGTGGAAAAATACCTCAACACATCCATTATCTCCATGTTCACTGACAATGGTGGAAAGTATCAAGCTCTCATTCCCATGTTCCAATCCATGGGCATTTCTCACCACACACACCCGAGCAGAATGGCATAGTCGAACGGCAATATCGACATATTGTTGAAATGGGTCTTGCCTTGTTACAATTTGCGGGTCTTCTTCTCACCTTTTGGTCTCATGCATTTCAAATGGAACCTTACCTCATTAATCTTTTTCCAACCCTAATCCTAAATTCCAAAAGTCCGTTTGATCTAATGTATGGTCTCTCCCCCATCTACACAAGCCTTTTGGGTGTCTCTGCTACCCGTGGCTTCATCTCTACTCTACCTCTAAGCTGCACCCTCATTCCACTCCTTGTCTCTTCTTGGGGTATTCCGCCGCCAAATCTGCTTACAAATGTCTTCACCTTGAATCCTGCCGCGTCTATCATTCTCGTCACGTTGAGTTATCATCCATTTCACTTCCCACTGTGGATGAATTCTTTAGTCACACTTCACCACCTTTACCAACTCCCCATTTACCCACTCTTCCCAATTTTCTCATGCACCAAAATCCCACATCAAGTCCTCTTGCACCCACTGTTACCAACCCTTTCACCCACCATCTTCCCTCCCACCTCCACTCATGCCACCTGCTACCACACCTACTTCACTCACATTCTCTAAACCAACTCTAGATCCTTCCTCTCCTATTTCTTCATCACAGTCAACACCTTCGTCCACAACGTCACCATCTCCATCACCTACTCCCTTACCCACTCTTCCACCCCGCCATCGAAAACCTAACCCAAAATACTTCAATTCCAAATTTGTGAACACCACCACTATTCATCCCATTCCCGTTGCCTTGGAACCTACTACCCACACTAAAGCCTCAAAAGACCCGTTATAGCATAAAGCAATGGATGATGAATATAATGCCTTGATCCAAAATACATGGGAACTTGTCCCATCTACTTTCCATCAACCGATCAGATGCAAATGGGTCTTCCGCATCAAGCGGAATCTGGATGGTACCATAGCGAAATACAAGGCCCGTCTTGTAGCTAAAGGATTGCTACAACAATACAAGAAAGATTATTTCGACACCTTTAGTCCCGTAACCAAACCGGTCACAATCCATACCGTGTTATCTATTGCTTTTTCCAAACACTGGCCATTGAGACAACTAGATGTTAATAATGCGTTTCTACACGACACGTTACAAGAGGAAGTGTACATGATTCAGCCACAAGGATTTGTTCATCCACAATATCCTAATCATATTTGCAAGCTTCAAAAATCCTTATACGACCTTAAGCAAGCACCGCGTGCGTGGTACATGGCACTCACCTCGTTTTTAGTAGAGTGGTTTTCGAAAATCTCAAATAGATGCCTCGTTATGGCATCACTTGCTATTTCATGGTATATGTTGATGATATTATGCTCACAAGAAATAACTCACCTTTTATTGCCAAGTTTGTGGAAATGCTTGCTACCAGGTTCTCTATCAAAGATCTTGGACACCTAAATCATTTCTTAGGTGTTGAAATAATTCCAACCAAGTCGGGTCTTTTTCTGTCACAGCATGGCCTCATCAGAGACATCTTAACTCAATTCAAGATGGATGGCGCTAAAGAGGTAACAACTCCTCTAAGTACATCAATTATCCTAGCTGAAGAAGATGGAGCTCCTAAAGTCGATCCGACACCGTATCGCAAACTAGTCGGTACTCTTCAGTATCTTGCCTTTAATCGACCGGATATTTTCTTTTACAGTCAACAAACTGTTGCAGTTTATGCATTCACCGTCGGAAATTCATTGGCAAGCTCTTAAACGGCTACTTCGTTACTTAAAGGGTACCATTTACCATGGCCTCTTTCTAAATTGAAATTCAACTTTGGAGCTCACTGCCTTTTTGGACTCCGACTGAGGTGGGACTTCAACCAAAGAACGTTCTACAACAACTTATCTTGTCTATCTTGGCTCGAACATTATCTCTTGGCGTTCAACTCGTTAGAAGTCGGTCTCACGATCCTCAACCGAAGCCGAGTATAAATCCTTGGCTAATGCTATTGCTGAATTATCGTGGGTTAAGAATTTACTGATCGAGCTTGGTCTCTCAGTCCCACACACACCAGCTATCAACTGTGACAACAGGGTGCTACCTATCTCTGTGTTAATCCAGTTTATCATTCGTGTACGAAACATGCCGCCTTGTACTATAATTTTGTTCGGGAGCAAGTTTCTGCTGGTACTCTAAAGGTTCGGCACATCAATACTCTCGACCAACCTGCAAATGTTCTCACCAAACCATTGGGTCGAGTATCATTTCTAAAATTTCGATCAAAGATTGGAGTCTTTGACGGATCCTCCATCTTGCTGGGGCGTATCAAGGATATACGTTGACCACACATAATTATAGGAATCAATATCTTTTATTTATGGCCTAAATGCATTCCATGTATTTCTCCTTAATTTGTGCACCTTCTGTTGTAAAACGTCTTATATATATATATATATATATATATATCCTTGTAAACCTCTTTATGAAATATATACAAATTCATACCATCATATGAAGTAGTTATTTATTTGTATTAGACTATAATTTCTATATGTGGTTTTTAACATTAGTTCAATCAACTAATTTGAACAAATTACTTTCAAAAAGCTCATTTTGTATTAAGAACACCACCCATTTATTATGAGAGTTTCATGTTGAACAAAGAGCAGAGGTGGTAAACAATACATTGGAAACAGATGCGGATAGTCATCTATTTCCTGCGGACATGGAGACACTACTTTCTTGGTTAGTTGGTTCTTATTCATCATCAAAACAAACTACTTGTAGATAGACTTAGTTGCTTACATTTGTTGATTGTAATCATTTAGGTAACCATTTTTTGTTACACAATACTTATTTGCTATAATACATCATCTCAGGTTCGTTCAAAGGATGTACATGGTTGTAAGGTCGTGGAACCTCATTATATGCTTGTCTCGTTACATTGTTGCACTATTTACTTGATATTATTACAGTGATACACATTATATTGTTATAAATTTAGAAGTTGGACGACTATGGCTCACCCGAGCTTGAATGCGACTTCCAAACTCACGTTCTATTATTGGCGAGCTGGTCATTACCATTTGGTAACAAGTTCGACTATATAAGTGATAATGTGTTTGCATACCATCTAATGGTCAATCCCGTACAACATGACCATAGCAAACACATATTCATTAATTATCACTTTGTTAACATCTTGCTCATGGTGATTTATTCGTTCGATACTCAGTTTCAGCTTACTGACATATTTACCAAAGCTCTATCAAGCACTGCTTTTAGTTTTAAGTTTTGAGTTTCTCCTTTCCAATTTCATATGGTTTCCTTTGAGGGTTGTGATATTTAACTATAAGGGTATTTTTGTAATCGTGTAACTCTATATAAACCTTAACATATTACTATACTACATGTGAGGTATGAACATCACACTTTACACTTGATTTACACAAAAAATTAGACATTTTCCTTGGTTGCATACACACACTACAATAAAATTGGGTTTATAAGACACCCCCAATCTCTAAGTGTCCCAATAGACCGCTTTATATGACTTAATTTATATGACCAAAATATAAAGCGTCATATCTAAAGGTGTTGTAATAAGTTTATACGACGCTTTTAGGCGTCTTAACAAGTTTTTAAGAACATTTTAATACAAAGTGTCGCATTAGCAACTTTATAGGACACTTTTGAGATATTATCCCATAAACTCAATTTTTTATAGGACAATTGTTTTTATAGGACATTTTTTTTAACACTTTTGTCCTATAAAGTTGATAATGAGACGCTTTATATTAAAAGTATCTTAAAAAACTTATTACGACATCAAAAAACGTCATATAAACTTTATTTGTTTGGTCCTATAAACTAAGTTTTATAAAAAGGTCTATTAAAACGCTTACAATTTGGGAGTGTCCTATAAACCCGATTTTGTTGTAGTGAGAATTATTGTTTTAAGATGTTCATGAATATGGGTGGTTATATCTTGAGATTCTATTCCATTTAAAGTTGAAAGATTCAACTTTAAGTTAACAAAATGATGTAGCACATGGGTGAAATACTCCATTATATTGGTGGTATTTAATGGTTTGGTCCACAAAATACATTAGAGATGACATGTTCTTTTCCTACCCATTAGAAAAATACTAAAGAAATCTCCTTTTAAGGCCCATCACTGAGTTATTTTCTTATTCAAGTGTAACCTTTACAAATTACAGAAGCAGCACAAGAAAACAGCATGGGGTGCATTAAATATGCTCAACACTGAGTTATAAATCAACCCTTTACAGAAGCAACACAATCAGAACAGCATGGGGTACATTAAATATGCTCAACAACCAACCTCTATATCTGAATCCTACAAAAGGATAACAGTTATAGATCAAACCATATCCCATGCATGACAGTATATACATGCATAGTTCTGCATGGTTGAGATTCAACCTCTCAAAAAACTCAATTTTTTTGAAGAATCATAACACTAATTGGCTATAGATAATGTGTTCTACATCAGGATATACAGTCCCTAGTTTCTTTCTGAATTTCTTGATCCATGTCCTATATGCACAATTCCTCTTTTCTAATAATGCTCATGGAAAGCAAATCTCTGCTGTTTTCGTGTTCGGGGACTCGACTGTTGACCCTGGAAATAACAACTACCTTCCCACTGTTGCTAGAGGGAACTTCCCACCGTATGGAAAAGATTTCGTGAATCATCAGCCTACTGGAAGGTTTAGCAATGGTCGTCTTGTTACTGACTTCATCGGTATATATATGGTTCTATTAATATTGTTATTATCTTTGGTGTAATTCATATGGCTATTTTGGTAGTCTTCTTGATTCATTGGCATTTCAGCTTCGTTTGTGGGTGTTAAGGAGAATGTGCCACCCTTCTTGGATCCAAGTTTAACGATCGAGGATCTCATGACTGGAGTTAGCTTCGCCTCTGCTGGTGCTGGTTACGATCCCTTCACATCTCAACTAAGTGTAACTCATCCTCTCTCTTTTTCCCTCCCTCCGTCACTCACCTCACCATGGGGATTGCTAATTTTTATAATATGCAACTTCTGCCCTTAAGCAACAGGGCGAAGGACGACGTGAGAATGAGAGTACTTAAAGGTAAAAAACGTAAGAAGAGATCTGGAGCTTGATCACCTTTAATCTTAAACCCACCCATGAATTGCTTGATACAGAGATTGACCCGGTGCATCTCATCCTAATCTGCATCCAAGGGTGGAGATCCCTTCTTACGCTTCTCACCTTAACTCTCTCTCACACCCGAAATCAACCCTTAAGCAACAACAGATTGTATCTATTAAAAAGGAGCAGGAGAATTCGGGACAATCTGTTAAAAGCATAGACTTTAATGATTTATCAAATATGTTTTACCAGTTTCTAGCAATTAAATTGTTTCTATACGATTTTCCTCCTCTCTCTCTCTCTCTCTATATATATATATATATGTATATATATATATATATACTACATTATAAACCAGATTTATCAAAAGTCTTAAAACAATTTTTAATGCACAAAGTACTATCCATTTATGCACAAAGTCTTAAAAACAACTCATAATGCATTAAGTACTATTACTTTATGCATTAAATCTTAAAATATCTTAATCTACAACTTATAATGATACTACAACTTACTAATGCATATTATTACTTTTTTCATGTTCTCAAGAGATACTTTTGACACATTTCACTCATGCTTTCACACTCTCATACCTCTATGTCTTGTCTCCATCCCCCAATGTGAGATTCAAACTGATATTCACCATGAGTTATTAAAAGTTCTCTCATTCAATTGTTCTAGAACTCTTGATCTCGCTCTCGATCTCTTGATTCTTTGCTCTTGGTGTAAATCGAACACATTTGTGGAGCCGTTTAAATATGTTCGATTTTAAACTGTCATACAATTTTTTCATTGATAGACTGTAATTGGAAGTGGAACCATAACTCTTATATTTATTCAAATTGTATTAATATGTAAAGACCAAGTGTAACTTATAACATCGTTAAATCTTCTTTAATTAAACCAGTAAAACTTTAAAATCGTTAAAATTCACGTCTCCCGCCGCATTGCGCGGGTACACAACTAGTATATATATAAAGAGAGAGATCTAGAGAGTGAGGTTCACCAGAAATTAACCACAAAAATATGAAAAATTGAGTTACATCCTAAGAACTTATGCACGTGTGTTTGTTATGCATATGCGTATATTACTTGTATGCACATGTGCATATCGTATAAATGGATGGTTATTAGGATGTGTTACTCTGTTTTTCATTTTCTTACGTTTTTTCTGACCGTATATATATAGGGGAGTTTTTACGGTTTTTACAAATTGGAGTGGTTTTCATTTGATCGCTCCTATATATATATATATATATCAAACTCATGTTCATGCTTAGTTGGTTTGTTATACTTATTTCATTACATCAGGGTGCACTCACAACATCACAGCAACTGGAGTTATTCAGAGATTATAAAAGAAAAATGAAGGTGGCTGTTGGGAAGGAAAGAACAGATGAAATAATCAAGAGTGCAGGATACATCGTGAGCTCAGGCACAAACGATTTCGCATTCAACTATTACGGACCTGTGTCTGTTCAACGAACACTCTATCCTACCATCTCCAGTTATCAGAATTTCTTGTGGCAAATCATTGAAGAATTCTTACAGGTTTCAAACAATTTCTCATCTCCCATTTCTAATAATGCATTTTTGTCCATTTTGTGAAAGGTGATCTTCATCTGTACTTGCTCAATGATGGATGCATTGCAATTCATTCAACATTTAAAAAAACTCAGATCATTGTGTCATTTTGTAAGAGTTATTTCACATCTCGATCGATTGATATTCGTTGGATGCTGTTGTAAACTAGCAAAAAAGAGAAAATCTATTTGAAATTATTGTCTCCCTTTTGAACCAAGATTCTAGCATTATTTATCTAAAATAGAGAATTAAAAGTCAAAATCTTTAAAACAAAAATTATATTCATCTCTAATGGATTCCTCGAATCCAACATTGATTATAATATTAAAATATTTCATTCATATATTTCTCTCTTTAAATATTTATTTTTAAAGTTTTCTATTGATAATCATTTTTGGGTTATCTCCATATTTGAAGAAAAAACTTCTCTCTCTCCTATTATGTCCATTTTGGAGATAGTTTTTTGGAAGCTGTTGAAGAAAAATATTGGCTCAAGATCCTCATTTTTTTCCATTTCGGAGAAGCTGTTGGAGATGTTCTTAAACGCATATACATATACGTATACATAAAGGTTCATTTGAGAAGTAGTAAGTATTTGAGAACTAAAGAAATGATCATATCCCTTTATCTGATCAACATTTGCGGCTTCAACTGTGAAGCCCCGAATAATTCATCGCATGGATATGCAGAAGATAGATGGATAATTTCATAATTTTTACAAATAGACGGCAAACAGGTTCATATGGGAACCCTTGTTATTCACATATGAACTATCTGTTCATATCTGAATTAGTTAATTGGTTCATATGTGAATCAGAGGGGTTCACATATGAACATATAGTTTATATGTGAATCACACCAGTTCACATATAAATCTATTGCCGCCTATTTGTAAAAGTTACGAAACTGTCCCCTCTATTTTTCACATAGCTACAAATTTTGACCAATCAAATCCGATCTTGACTGTATGAAGAGTTAGGATCACTTCTTTACTTCTCAAATAATTACCACTTCTCAAAGTAACCCATGAATATATATATATATATATATATATATATATATNCAAAGTAACCCATGAATATATATATATATATATATATATATATATATATTACCACTTCTCAAAGTAACCCATGAATATATATATATATATATATATATATATATACTCTCTTTGTTTTTGTGTACATGTGAGAGAGAGAAGACTGCCTTCCTTCCTATATGCTATCTTTCTAGTTAATAGAATATAACTATTCCACAAAACTCAGTATATTTGTGAAAGAAATGACTAAAAGATAAATCTGGTTTATTATAACAGGACTTATTGAATGAGGGTGCCATGAAAATAGGGGTGGTGGGTGTTCCCCCAATTGGATGCTTGCCTGCTATCATTACTCTAAACTCTAAGGATCCCATATCAGGCCGACAATGTATTGAAAGATTTAACGCCATCTCAAGAGACTACAATCAACTACTCGAAAGTAATCTCAAGGGTCTTCGAAGAACGAACACGAGGGTTGTGTATGCAGATATATACACGCCTATCATCAACATGGTTCAAGGAAACACTCAAATTGGTAACTCAATACTACACACTTAATTTTATCCTACTACATAATTTATAATCAGTGTAAGACATTTTTCCACCTTAACATCGGTTATTAATGCACAAATTATCTCCTAATAAAGTTCTTAACAAGTAATAAGGGGTCGTTACCATCAACTCTGCAAAGGGGTCGTTAACATATGCTAATGGGGTAAGCCCTTACAACTAACCAGAGACGCTTACTAATTAACTATCCGAAAATCTTACTAAGTAGGGTGGTCATTCTTACTCGGTTGGTTTAACAAGTCTAATGACCGAAAATCTTATTAATTTAGATGACTTTGATGAAGTTGGACAACCTAAGAGGACTAGACCTCTAAGGGTTGGGTTCTGATGAGAAAATAAGTTATAGCGATTAGCATAAGAAGAGATCATCTTCATCATTGGATGCACATTAGTTGAAGATGCACCAAGATGAGATGTACCAAGATCAGTCCCCGTATCAAGCACAATTCATGGGTGGTCATGAGATTAATAGTAATCAATGGTTCAGATCTCTTCTTACGCTTCTCACACGATTCTTGGCCAAATCTCTAATCCTTTTATTTGTTTTTCTATGGAAGAAATTTTAATTAAAACTTATCATATATGTAAGACTTATTTATAATACAATTATTCAAACATGTCCTATAAGAAGATTAATAAGACCATTTACTTTTTATGTCATATTTAATTTTCCAACTTCGTCAATAACACTTGGTATGTCGTCTAACATCGTTGTAACTACTTATTGTAACGTAAACGTACATACACGAGGATAGTTGACGGTCCTATAATCATTGCCAATGCTATTCGAAGAATTGTGATTAAGTAACGATATCATAATTAAGTACAATTAAATTAACGTATTCTGATTGTTGATCTCAAGTTTAACACTATATATTTTTCTTTTCTTCTATTGTTTTGACCACAAAGATTTCGAAGAAGTTCATCAAGGTTGCTGTGGTAGCGGACTAATTGAAGCCGACTTCTTGTGCAATCGAAAATCTCCGTTGTGCTCTGATGTTTCAAAGTATGTATTTTGGGATGCCTTTCATCCAACTGAAATAGCTTACTACGTTATCTTCAAGTCGTTCGAACCACTCATTCGACAAATCATAGCTTGAATGTCATCGATCTAATTAACGTTGAACAACATTTGTTCCTATATTTTTTTCTACCTGTAAAACCCTTTATGACGAAACACAAACTTGATATCGAATTGTAATTGAATCAAACGGTTAAGTAGTACAAAAAAATAGACTATTTACATTAGCGGTGCTCAAAAACCTGACCAACTTGATCCAACGCCAAATAACTCAACCCGAAGCAATGCGATGTCTAATCGAATTGTAAAATTTTCAAACCGTAGGTATTGGGTTACTATTATATTTGAACTCAACGCAATCCGATGAACCCAATATCATTTTATTTATTGGATTTAATATGATTGTTGAAATTCTATTAATATATACATTAGACAATTACATTATCATGTATGCTCTTCATATATACATATTTTCAATCTATTCACATATTTATATAACTCATTCATATATATGTTAACTGTGAATATATATATATATATATAAGTAAATTGGGAAAATTAACTGAATGAGATATACGTAAGAAGTATGGATAAGTTGTATTAAATGGTTGATGATGAAAAAAAAAATTATAGATAGAGAAATAATATATTCAAGGTTAGAAGAATATTTTAATGTATCAAATTATCAATCCGACCAACCCATACAGTTTGGTTGGATTGGGTTACACTTTGGTTTGGGTTCGGTTGAGTTAAATTTTTTTAAACCGCAAGCATTGGATTGAGTTGTTTAAATATCTTCAACTCGATCAACCCAACTCAAAAGCACCCCTAATTTACATGGTTGAAATAAGGTTTTACGACCGTTTAAAACGCACATACTTATCTACCTTTTTACACGGTTATAAATACGTATGTTATATATACAGAATACGAGGTTCCCAAGTTTAGGCATAAATACGTATCTTTAGAGTCTTTGTATCCTGGGAAATCGACGCACCGATAGATTTTACGAAAACCGTGTCTAACACGGGCCTCAACTCAATACTCGGGGTTTGTTTCCTACTTTCTTTAAATTATGTTAGAACTCTATTATGATGAGAGAGTTTATCTTAACATAGAGATACATACGGACGAGGAGGGTGGACCGGACGTACGTCCAGGGCCCATAGAATACAAGGGCCTGTTTTTTTTCCTGTATTTACTATATAGTATATATTAGTAATAAATAAAAGGGATATAAGTTTTTTTATTTTTTTAATATAATCCAAAAAGAATTTAGTATTATATTAAGGACACAAGCATGTTCAATTATATATATATATATATATATATATATATATATTAGAGAATAAAATATGAAGAAATAATTGGTTGCTCGTTTTATAGTATTTTTTATTGTTTTTTTTAAAACGTATCTACTATTAAAATTTAAAACTAATTTGCCTAGAAAATATTGATATATTCTCCATAATTCATCTCTCACCAACTCTTTTGATTATTCTCTTCACATGATTTCTATTTTGGTATTAGAATATAGTAGATTTCTTGTTATTGACTAAAAAAAGTTTTACTTTTTGAAAAAAAAATTATCAACTATAAGAGATAATCCAACTTATTTCTATAGTTAGAATTCCAAAACTACCTTTAGGCTATGTTTAGCTGATAAACTAACTGATACTGATAAACTAGCTGATAGTTGGTAAACTAGGTAATGAACAAATCATGTTTGACAAAACTAACTGATGAAAATATGAAATGACCAAAAATGACATCTTGAAAATTTAATCGAATACAATATTTTAAAATATAATTAAATATGATATATGAACTAGGACAAACAAGATGGTAAAAAATAAATAAAAAATATAATATATTGATTAAAATAATTTCAAATTGATAATTATATATGTTGTATATTTGAATTTGTTAAAACAAATTTTTAAAAAAATCTATTATTTATGGTTTTAAATAATCATTACATATTTATGAATAAAAATAAAAAATGGTCTACCGTACATATCCTAAATAACTAATTATCTTTCAAAAAATGTATCAAATAATTTGAATAAATGATACCATTTTTTGTTCCAGAATCTATTAAATATAGCGACTTTACCATACAGGTAACCTTCCTAGATCCGATAGGATACCCTAAACCTGGCCTTGAGCCTTTGAACGGGAGAGAGTCGGAGGAAGTTGTCTTTTGGCAACAGGCTAAATTATAATAAATAATGCTTACAAATGAAACATCCATGTAAATCTGTAACTATATCTAGTTAAAGACATGTTTTAACTCAAAACCCCTTACTTAGCCTATCATTACAAGTAAGTAATAAATAAAGATATGATTAAGAAGGGGCATTTTTTAGGCCAAAAGACATGACCTTCCATTCATAGTGACCCATAGGCACATTAAAAGCGGTTTTATAAATATCTGATTCAGATATTTGAATTTGCCAATAACTAGATTTTAAATCAAATTTTGAAAAAATTAAGGCTTGAAAAAGTCTGTCAAGAAGATTCTTCTTATTTGGAATAGGATGTCTAATCCATTTTAAAACTTGGTTTAAAGGTTTATAGTTTATAACTAAACGAGGGATACCCTTTTCTTGTTCTAAATGTTTATTAACATAAAAGGCAGTGCAAGACCATGGTGACTGGGAAGGCTTTATTAGACCTTTTGCAAGAAGGTTAGAAATCTCATTTTTGCATAGAGTGAGATATTCTGAATTCATTTGACAAGGTCTAGCTTTAGTAGGAATACTAGACTCGGAGAAGTTTTCTTCATAGGGAAGGGAAACAATATGTTTTTTTTCTATCCCAGAAAGCATTTGTGTGACAATTCGTCACTTTGGGATTTCAGGTTAGTATCTTATTTCAAGATCTTTATTTACAATTAAGTCTTTCGAGGATTTAGCTTCGATGATTAGTGATCATCTTGCTCAACTTCCAAGATTAGTTCGTTAGATCACGTCTCGGCGGGTAGCTAACAAAGTTAGTTTATGCAAATACAAATAGTCTTGAAGTATTCCACATAGAATAAAGTTGATATTTTTAAGTTCCGTCCTCTTTTAAAAAAAATTTAAAATTTCCAAAGTCCCATTTTTATATTTATTTGCCAATTAATTTAAAGAGTGGAGTTTCCTTTAAAATCTTTTATCAAATTGTTTTGTTTGTTTAACTTAGTGGGGTTTTATTATTTAAGAGAAATAAAAATATTTTGGGCTTGGGCCTTTAGAGTTCAGCCCATTTCTTCTCAAAAAGCCTCATATAAATACCTCTCTTCTTTTAGAAATCTTCATTCTCCAAACTTCCAGCACATGTTCTCTCTCTTTTGCTATCACCTTTCCAGCCGGTTCTAATCTCCTTGCAAGACTTAAAGGTTTTTGCTGTCCTTAAGAACTGTTCGAGTCTTTCTGTCAAGAAAAGGTATATTTTAGATTTAACGCCCCAACCCACACATTGCATGTAACACATATTTCATACCAAAGAAATACATATTCATATACATTCGGGTCCCCTAGTACAAGAATCTATCATGACCAAACACAAGGTCCAAAAATTCAAAATACAATYTTGTACTAATCATMAAAACTATGCATCAAAARCAAATCTTCATCCAAAATGCATATAAGAAAAGCATTAAATCTTTTCTTTTCCTTTACCTTCTACCCGACCTGCAATACATATTTAAAATCACAAAAAAATGAGGGTTAGACTGAAAAGTCTAGTGAGATACCCTATCCATGTCATTGCAGGGTGAAGGATCACTAAAATCTTTATAAAATCAAGTATTCATATAAATAACAAATATATGAATCCATAAGACCAAAATACCAAGTCATTTCTCAAATTCAAGCTATCTCTTAGCTTATTCAAATCTCATACCTTTTGAACCAATCGGCTTCCATACAATGCCACTTTTTAAACCTTTTTCTCAATAAACGAGGTTTAACAAAGTTTCAGGCCAAAACAGATCTTTTCTCCTCAATAACATCCAATCTATGATTTCCAAATAAGATTCTTGATCCTAAATCCTTAAATCACAAAGAAATAAAGATTCCAGATCTCAGTAGTCTTGAAGRAAATAAWAGAAAGAGTTATATAAAATCGCACACATACAATGCCACCCTTATATCCGATGGACACCTCTCCTTGATATGCCACCCTTATCCCATGGGACACCTCTCCTTGATATGCCACCCTTATAACAAATCGACACCTCTCCTTGATATGTCGTCCTGATAACAAATGGACACCTCTCCTTGATATGCCACCCTTATAACAAATGGACACATCTCCTTGATATGCCACCCTTATACCTTCATCAAAACATTTATAAAATAATTCCGAATAGACCGCAGTCATTGGAATTTATATCAATCCAAAATCATTTATATCAAAACTTCATTTTATGATAAAATAACAATTTTTATCCAATCACAAAGTATCATCTCAAATCCGATCAACAAGTCCGATCAACAAATCCGGTCAATCAAATCCGGTCAACAATCATCTGGTTTAGTCACTTAGAATAAAATTTACATTGTCCGGTTAACAAGTCCGGATAACACATTAATACTCTTTGTCCGGTTTAACAGTTAGGAAAAATCTCAAGTTTGTCCGGATAACAAATCCGGACAATATACTTAGAATAAAACTCATCTTTGAACGGATACTAAATCCGGACACTAGTCCGTTCAAGGCTTGTCCGGTTTAAGAATAAACCGGTCCCCATGTGATCGTATTCCTACTTCTCAGTATAAAATTCTAAGTAACACTACCAATTCTAAACCGCTTGAGACTTAGCCGGTTTACCAACTCCGGACAACAAACCRTCTAAGGCTTGTCCGGTTTAAACTTATCCGGTCACCCTTTGTCCGGAATAATACTTAAACAAAATGTGCAAGGTTTCATCCCAAAGACTAATAACATAAACATGCAAATAAMACCAGTAGTAATTTTGATGCAAAAAGCTTTAGAAACCACTCACCTCAAAAGCTTTTGAAACCAAACGCTTGCAATCAACTTGAATCTCCAAACACTTGAAATCACCCTTTTTTTTTGCAATCCGGACAA